TAAACCAAATAATATTTCATAACGTTCAGTCAGCTTACAAGATACAAGTTATTCTTAAATAAAGAATTGAAAAAGTGTAATTTAACTGACGCTTTCCCCACTTTGACAATTCATACTTGGAATATTAAATGAAAATAATTTATTACAATGTTCCATTGCATCATATAGTCTAAAGGTATCGTTAACTTGTAGTTTTACACAAGCGAAATATTTTATTCACCATAAGAATCATCTACTTTCAATTGATTTTAGCAATATGTAAAACTTGAAGGTTCGTAACATGGGTTTTATACACTCGGCGGACACGGAGCAGACATCCCATTATGTCGCTTTGATTTTGAAGGCTCGTAACATGGGTTTTATACACTCGGCGGACACGGAGCAGACATCCCATTATGTCGCTTTCATTTTGAAGGCTCGTAACATGGGTTCGATACACTCGGCGGACACGGAGCAGACATCTCATTATGTCGCTTTGATTTTGAAGGCTCCTAACATGGGTTTGATACACTCGGTGGACACGGAGCAGACATCCCATTATGTCGCTTTGATTTTGAAGGCTCGTAACATGGGTTCAATATACTCGGCGGACACGGAGCAGACATCCCATTATGTCGCTTTGATTTTGAAGGCTAGTAACATGGGTTTGATACACTCGGCGGACACGGAGCAGACATCCCATTATGTCGCTTTGATTTTTGAAGGCTCGTAATATGGGTTTGATACACTCGGTGGACACGGAACAGACATCACATTATGCAGATTGATATTAAACATCAATAAAAATTATTATTTCTGTTTTATTATTGTGTCTATCTCCATCACTATATACTGGTTTTGTCCACAATTATGTTTTCTTTCGTAGGTGTACTGTTATACTTCTCAGTAGAGCAAAAAATAAAGGGATTTCGATGTTTTAATTCAAGGAAATAAAAATAGCGACAGTTGCTCTTTTAAGGCTATAAACTTATAGCAAATACCATAAATAAAGAATTAAACAAATGACGTTAATACTACACTATAAGCTAATTAGAATTTGGAACGTTTTGCCAATTAAATACATATATCTTTGATACAAGATCTATGTTGATAATTTTGCTATCTTAATAAGGCTTACGATATAATAAAATATTTTAACTAACGCCTTATGCACATTTTCAAACTAATGTACGTTTACGGACATACAGAGTATAAATCCGGAGTTTGATTATCTGCGGAGGACAGCGCGCGAATAGCCCATTGTGTAGCTTTGCACTAAAAGAAAACAAAAACTGGATTAAACGTTACAATAAATAATAAGATAAGAGCGGCCTTTTTCTTCTAAAATTAACAGTCTTTGATAAACAAATACAAAATTTGTTATCCACTAGAAAATTACCGCATTGCCCCTAATTAACGCCCCTCTCTAATTATTGCCTTACCCGGTATTTTTATAAAGGTTACCTTCTGTGACAGCAATAGTAATCCAACATATAATCCACTTTTATTACCGTAATTTTGATTTGAAACAAAAACAAACAAACAAATAGACACACACTTTTATTAGCATTGAAATCAATAAATCACATGTGAAAAATAGAATTACGAACTATAATTAACGCCCCCCCCCCTTTGTAGCTTGAAATGCCCCTGGATTATTATTAGTTAGGGGCAATACGGTATACATTATTGTAATGTACGTGTGGAAACGTGTTTTTAACGTTTTAGTTGAATTCACAGATAATGTACTTGCTGATGTTGTCATGAAAAAAAAAAAAAACTAACGTGAAAGACACCGACTGAACTTACGGAATCAGCTGATTCACAAACTGAGTTTCATATTTTTTTTATTGGTCGTAAAGCATCTGTTTTGGATTAAACTAATCCTACCGTTACAGTGTTTGTTTGTTTCTTCCAATAAGTTTAAATGTGAAGTATTTTATGACAGATAAACATTTGATTATTGAATCTTTGATCATTTTAAAATAATTATTGACGTTATTTTCAGACCAATGAAATTTTTTACTGACATTCAGTAATGCCTAAAGTTGATCTAAGCTCAAACTGTCTGAGCTTATTCTTTAACAAGTCTTAATAAAAGATAATTATTTAGTCTATTAGCTTTTTCTTTCTTATTATCTAGAATAATAATCATATAAGTAACGTAGCAATAAAACCTATTTTTCTCCCCAGTAGTTCACAATATATCGTTAAAAAAGCTCTTGATAAAGGATCTTTACTTAAAGGGCCTGATGTGGGCTGATTTCTTTGTTTGTAGTTAAACACAAAGCTACACAGTGGGCTATCTGTACTGTGCATACCAAGGGTATCGAAACCCGGTTTCTAGCGTTATAAGTCCGCAGGCTAGCTGCTGTGCCACTGAAAGCACGTGAACTGGTGATTAACGTATCGGACTAGGGATTGAAGGGCCCGTGGTTCCAGAAACAATGCAGCTGGACACACCGCATTATAAAAGTAACAGTTATTCTCATTATTCGGCTCAAAAAACCGGCCAAAGCCCTTGCGAAATCGGGTGCTGTTAGCCGGCTAATTTCTCTCTTGTTCGTATTTCAAAATTATGGATAGTTATGTCTGAATTCTAAGGATTTCTGACTGATCGTTATGACCACATGTATCTACGTGTCGTTCAAGTTCAAAAATCCAATTCTAATTCCTTGTTTAAAACATTACTCCAAGTGTGGAACAAGTCACACGTTGTAAAGTTTTATGGAAATAACTGTAGATATATTCAGTATATTCAGCATGTTATCTAGATGAGAATTAAATGTTAGACCAAACTACTGCAAACTAATATGTCAAGGAAGATAGATCAACGTTAGATCAGACTACTGCAAACTAACGTTGATAATGACCAATTGTAGACCAGGCTACTGCAAACTAACGTTGAAAATAACCAATATTAGACCAAGTTATGTAAAATAGCGTTGAGAATGATCGATTTTAGACCAGACTATTTCAAACTAACACTGAGAATGACCAATTATAGACCAGGCTACTGCAAACTAACGCTAAGAATAACCAATGTTAGACCAAACTATGTAAACTAGCTATGAGAATGATCGATTTTAGACCAGACTATTTCAAACTAACGCTGAGAATGACCAATTGTAGACCAGGCTACTGCAAATTAACGTTCAGAATGACCAATTTTAGATCAGACTATTGGAAACTAACACCGAGAATGACCAATTTTAGACCAGGCTACTGTACACTAACGCTGAAAATGACCAGTTTTAGATCAGGCTACTGTAGACTAACGCTGAGAAGGACCAATTTTAGATCAGGTTACTGTAGACTAACGCTGAGAGTGACCAATTTTAGTCCAGGCTACTGTAGACTAACTGAGTTTAAACTTTTTAACACATGTATCACTTCTATATTGAATGTTTTAATAATTTTTGTGGTTAATATTAGATTTGTATTTAAGTTGTGTTTGAAAATCATTTTCTTTACTTTCCAGTCGTATTAAAAGTAGCATCAAACCATTTAGTCAATATTTATCTATCTATCCTATAACGTAATAGGGTTAGTAACCATGATTGGTCCTTAAAGCTAAGAAAAAGTGATGTAAAGAAGCGTATTAGGTTCTAATTTGAAGTAATGTCTCTATTTCGATCTAACAGACTGTTTGGTGTTTGTTTTTATATCTTGTAAATTGTTTAGTATTGTTTAGTTGGAGATTGCTGTGAAATCTGAGGGGAAAAAAGACTGTCAAATATATCCTTTCAATTTGTGTTCTGTAGTGACTGAGAAAACTCCCTTGCCAATAAAGAATATCACACTTGCATTAAAACAGCACGTGCCACAGAAATCAAATACAATGACACGGAAGTTTAAATATCCGTATGTACTTTAAAAGGATATTGGAACAAACTCATGTAACACAGAGTGTATTAAGCATTACCAGATACCAGTTAAAATGCACGTTTCCTGGCGAACTTCATTATTTCCCAAGAAACATACATCCTAAGATAGAACCTCAGTCGACTGAGCTTTTTGTATTGGAGTTCCTAAATCACAGCCTGACTAAAATAATTACTGTAACAGAGAATAATTCGTCGATCATTTTATAGTTAATAATATTTGCATATTTCAACTACAACCAGAAATTTACTCTATTTAATTACAAGACTTGTTGTGTCTGGGTGGTTAGGGTACTCTACTTGAAATTTGAGGGGCGTTAGTTCGAATCCCGTTCCCGAATATTCTAGCCCTTTCAGCCGTGGAAGCGTTATAATGTACCTATTAATCCCACTATTAGCTGGTATATAATAGTCCAAAAGTTGGCAGTGCGTTCCTTCTAGTCTAATACACGTACGACCGCACTACGAAGCTTATATAAGATGAAACCTAGATACCACTCATAATGAAAATTCAAATATGATTTTCTAAAGGCCAGGTCATACTGATTACAACTCATAGACTTGAAAATCTTAAACAAGTTAAACTTGTGTTTTATTGGTAATTGTTTCCTACTGATACATATTTTTCGTGCCCTTGAACTTTGTGACCGAAACTCAATCAGTTGGTTTCTGAATGTCAGTTAACGTTTCCACTTAACTTGGTTGAACTGCAAAGAGCGATTTTGGAATGTCTCTTTGCGCATATTCGCTCGCAAGACAAAACACGTTGTGCGACAATTCTGTTGTTTAGTGGTCAGTCACATCCTTGGATAGTTAAACATTCCAGTAAAACAAACATTCTTTTCAACGTTACATAGCGTTTCTTGGAATGTTTTTGCTTTTTTATAAAAAGATAATTTGCTTTCAACGTCAAAGCGCTATATCAACCATGATAAATTCCTCGTTGTTCGCTGAACAAGTAAATAATTAATACAAAAAATAAATAACGCGGTATCTGAATATGTTAAACAGTCTTATGTTTATGCTACAAATAAAACGTAACTGATTTCGTCTTCCCCTGTTTTGGCAGTTTATGTATTTTTATTTTCTTCGTAAGACTCGTAATACATTAATAACTTCGATACTTTTCACTCTCAGGACTATGAAGTGGATCTTTACCTACGTCAGATGTGGCACGACAGTCGTCTACAGACACATAACTTATCCAGACCGCTCGATCTGAACGATCCAGTCTTGGTTAAACGAATATGGAAACCGGAGGTTTTTTTCGCTAATGCCAAAAATGCAGAGTTCCAGTATGTAACTGTTCCCAATGTGTTAGTGAGAATCAATCCTTCTGGAGAAATACTCTATATGCTCAGGTGAGGAGGAATGAAACTGTTTAAGGTGTATAATGAAAGGTAGTCACTTATTCTTGCTTAAAAGTAAAATTGAGAGGTAGCATTTTGTTCCTTTGGATTTCGAATGAGTTTGTTCCATTTGGGGACGCCGAAAAAGTATACGACACGTTACAATAATTACCTGTGGTTATTTTCTCCTGAGATATCGAGAGATTCGAACATCTAGAACTGTTACACTGACAGCTAGATGCAAAAATGTTACTGTTGTATTAATAAATGTTTAAGTGCTGTTGTTCTGTTACTGAATGATTATAAGTTTAATGTTCTGTTATGGAATGCTTAAAATGCTTAAATGATTAAAACATTGCTGTTCTGCTACTGTAGGGTTAAAATGTTGTTGTTCTGTTATTGTATGGTTAAAACGTGCTGTTCTGTTGCTGAATGGTTTAAATATTGGTGTTCTGATGCTTAATAGTTAAAATATTGATATTTTGTTACTGAATGGTTAAAATTCCGCTATTCTAAGTAAATGGTTAAAATGTTACTGTTATGTTACTGACTGGTTAAAACGTTAATGTTCGATTACTAGATCGTTATAATTTTACTGCTCTCTTATTGAATTACTAAAATGTTATTGCTCTGTTACCGAATCGTTAAAATGCTGCTGTTCTGTTACGGAATTATTAAAATGATGTAGATAAGGCCAGTCTATCAAAGTCCAAACTATCAAAACTCATAGTTATGAAGATATATTTTTGTAAGAACTTTAACATACAGCTTTGTGTTGGTTATATTGAGAATAATTTGCTTTTGGTTCCCAACAGTAATTTATTTCATACTTTCGTGTAGCATCGACACATTCGGCTGTTTCTGCAACTAATGGAATAAATATCTCTCATGACCTGTATAATGGAAGAAAGAAATTTTAATAATAATTATATTATCCAAAAGTATTTTCCGTCAGATGTCACTATGTGTGTGTGTTTCTAAGAAGTTAATTTTCCTGTGGTTATCTGAAAAATCACAAAGTTTCCAAAATCTAACGCCGAGAATAGTTTTTAAAATCCCCTAAATTTTGTATCTGTTTTTCGAGAAGAAGAGTATGCTTTTCGAAAAGCAACATCGTATCAAGTTTATACAGTAGTTTCTGCTTAACTTGAATTCTAAAGTGTACTCATCTGCGTAATGAATGCGATTAGAGTTAATGATACTCTGTTAGTAGCACTTAACTTGAATTCTAAAGTGTACTGATCTGCGTAATGCATGCGATTAGAGTTAATGATACTCTGTTAGTAGCACTTAACTTGAATTCTA